TAAAGAAATAGTGACACTAAAATAAGTTACAGAAAATAGAAGTATGCACAAATGCACAGTAGATAGTAAAGGTGCACATGTACCATGAGCCTAACCATTGGCTGAGCATGTAATGTCTCCACACACTGAGCAAGAGAGCAGAGACTCCCGAGAAAAAGGTCTGTGTAGAATATTGTCATTCAGTAGGGCATAAAGAACATTGTGAAGTTGCAGCAGGCCTCCCAGTCCTACTTGTGAAAGATGTGGGAGCAGCATTCCAAGCACCAGCAGAGATTCCATTGAGCCAGCAGTGATTTCAGGAAATGCACTGTTGGTTGACTGTTCTTCACTGCCTTGAGGCTGACTTAAAGTTGGTATCACACTCAGGAGAAGTAGTAACATGTCAGATGACTCCCTTAGCCTTACACCAGGCACACCCACCCACCCACCTCTGCCGGAAATTCAGCTCACAGACAAATGATGTCAAGGCCCTCCACAGTGAAGCTGTCTCACAGTATTACAGCCAGGAAAGAAAGCAGAAGAGAGACTGCTTTGCATTGCTTCTGTTAGGAGTGACTCCTTCTGTTGAATACCTCTTACATCTGTTAAAGACCATGATGGATGAACACCATTGCCTTTTTTCTTTTTTTCTTTTTCAGATTTTCAAGACAAGGTTTCTCCATATAGCCCTGACTGTCCTCAAATTCCCATTGAACTCACAGAGATCTGCCTGCCTCTGCCTCTACAGTGCTGGGAATAAAGGCATGACCACACTGCCAGGATAGGCCATTTTTTCTTATTTGAAGTTGGAGGAAATATTTTTTCATTATGACACCTTTTCCAAGAGTGTCACATAAGCTAAGAGAGTCAAAGTGACAGTGTACAAGATGTCAGGAAGTGAGTCCAAGCCTTGTATCAAAGCTTGGTATGTCACTGGGGAAGGTCTGGGTAGTCAGGGAGTCTTCTCCAAGCATTGCCTGCCATTTCACTCTACACATGGTTCCTGAGCACATGATATGGCCTGTGTGTCAGCAGACCCTGTTACTGTGGGAGCTGCTGCAGCATGACATCATGGCAAGGTGGAGAAATGACAGAAGCAGTGCAGAGGTGGGTCCAGGAATATTGTGTCCCGCTCTTTTATCCCATGTATTAGCATGTACACTGGGTCACTGCTGCAGCCCTGCTAGTCTTTTTAATGTGCTGTGCTGAAGAGTGTTCTGCTCTTTCTCATGCCTGTTCCTGCCAAATCCCTCAAGAAAAAGATGTTGCTAGAAGAGATGATACTAGCCATTTAAGGTCAAGTGGTTTTTTTTGGGGGGGATGGATCATTTTTTATTAGAATTTTAATTTTTTCTCCTCCACTCCCCCATAGACAGGGTCTCACCATATAGTCATGGCTTGCATGGAACTTGATATCGAAACCAGGTATTGAATTTACAGAGATCTACCTGCTGTTACCTCCTAAGTGCTAGGATTAAAGGCTTGCCCAACTCCCTCACCTGGCCTAGAAGTTTCAAACTTTGAATGTAGAACTGATAATCAACCAAATAGATTCAATAACTTAGTTTGTTCAGTTTTCTTTTCTGAAGTCTTTCTGAGTAAAATTTAGATATAATGGTCTTATACCCCAAAATACTTGAGCATGACTCTTTAGAAAACAAGGGTATTTCCTGTGCAACTGCAACACTGTCATCTTACCTGACAAAAGTTACCTTTTTGAAATTACAGTTTATGTGTGTGTGTATGCATGTGCATGCCATGGTGTATGTATGGAGGTCAGAGAACAACTTGCAAGAGTGAGTTCTCTCTTTCCACCATGTGGGTCCTGGGATCAAACTCAAGTTGGGTTTGACAGGAAGTAATTTTACTGACTAGGCCATCTTGGCAGCCCCCCTCTTTTTTCTTTCTTTCTTTTTCTTTTTAGAAAAGCAGGTTTTAGTTGAAATTCCTGCTACCATGAACGAGCAGTCCTTCATTGTTTAGTTCCTTATTGCCTTTAAAGGATAAGACAGGCATTGTAGGAAGAGAAAAACTCAGGCAGTCTGTGGAATGTTCACAATTGGAGGAGCATTGGCGCCTTTAGAATGAAATCACCCTGGTGTTACTAGTCATCTTTATTCACTCTTAAGTCTTTATTCACTCTTGGTGGCCCTTTGGTTCCCAGGGCAGGAGGGCAGGAGGAGGAAGACTGTTGGTAGAATTTCTTAGGAGAACAGTCTTGCAGAAGATTGAAGTCTACAGCTCTCTTCCCAGACTCTTGTTTGTACACATGTGTTGAAGAAATCGGCAGAAGAAAAGGTTTACTTCGGGGTTGCTTTTAGGAGGCTGATCTGTGCGGTTGACAGACTGGAGTACATTTACTCTTCTGATATCAGGCTGATAGCACTCTGGAGGCTGACTGCTTCGAAAAATACTCTTTTCGTTTGAATAGATGTTTGTGGTAAGAGTAATAGCTTTGAAGAGATAAAAAGTGTGTGCTTTCTTATGCTTCATCTTTCTGGGTGTTGGGCAGTGCTGGCTTTCTACAGTATAAATTCTTGACTCCTTTTATGTCTTGTCTTCGAATGTTTTGTGTGTGTGTTGGATATGTCTTCTACTTTTGCTGATTACTGTGAACCGAGACTGGAGACATGTTGGGCCAGTGGGAATTAAGGAGATGTTCTATAGGACCTTCTAGGAGGAAGCTTGAGGAGCCCTGGAGTGAGCCTTAGTTCTAGCAGGGTAGAAGCCAGTTTCATGATGAAGTTGGCACTTTGCAAGGCAGAAGGAAGACTGATTCCAGGGACATTGTGGCGCTCCTTGTCTTGCCCAGTGCATGCTGCACAACTTGTAAATCTGTTTGGCATGCTTGATGTTTGGCATGTGCTGAGCATCTTGGATGTGTGTGTTCATGTTGTTTACCAGATACATGGTATTGCAGGTATTATTTCTTTTAAAAAGATGTGTGTGTGTGTGTGTGTGTGTGTGTACCCGCACGTGAGTGCATCTGTCCAGAGATTCCAGAAGGGGCATCTGGCCCCTTGGATTCAGAGTCATGGACATTTGTGAATTGCCTAATGAGGGCATTGGTATCAAACTCTGAGCCTCTTGATGGGGCAGCAAGTGCTCTTAACTGCTGCTTCAGTGTCTCTTCTCTAGGGAAAGCCATTTAATCCCTCTGGCCTCAATTTTAACACAGAGTTAATAATGGCTCTCTTCTTGGTGTTTTGAGGGGCTTAGTTGTTTTATAATCCTGTCTAGTAACTCTTTCCTTCATAGTATCTTGGCATAGAAGTTTGCCTAAGAACATTGCTCAGGCGTCATTCAGTTTCAGTTTAGAGCTAGTAGAGGAAGGAGGAAATTAGTAATATGACATTCTGCTTCCCACCTTGACTCCATTCTCTTGCTTCCCTCCCTAGAGGGCATGCCTATTAAAAGCTCTATATTTATTGTTCTATTGAATGACATATATTTATATGGATGTGATTTTTTAAGTTATTTTTATTTAATGTGAATTGGTGTTTTCCTTGCATGTATGCCTATTTGAGTTGGATCCTCTGGAGCTGGAGTTACAGTTTTGAGCTGCCATGTGGGTGCTGGGAACTGCCTGGAGTCCTCTGGAAGAGTAGCCAGTGCTCTTAACCACTGAGCCATCTCTCTAGTCCCATGTTGATTAGTTTTAATTGTTGACTTGGCATAATCTAGAATCATCTGGGAAAGAATTCTGAGTTGCGAATTATCTAGATTATGTTGGCTTATGGATTTTCTTTGTTAGGTCGAGGAGGGAAAGACCTACTCTGAGTGTGGGTAGCACCACTTCATGGGTGGAGTCCTAGTGAACGAAGAAGCAGCCTGAGCACTAGCATGGTTCACATACTCATTGCTCTCTGCTCTTGACTACAGATGTGTGTTCAAACTTCCATGGCATCCCTCAGCAGTGGATTGGATTTGTGAACCAAATGCACTTTTGTCAGGGCATTTTATCACAGCAACAGGGAACACAACTAAGACAATATCTAAACAATATCTTATTTAACTGTTTGCTTTTGTGGTCCATAAGAGAATGTATCTAATGTCTACACAAGTGTCCTGAAATCACCTGTTTGTTCTTTGTAGTTTTCTCACTGTCTCGTTTGTATGAGATTCCAGCACATAATGTGGATGGGTGTTTAACTTCTTTGTTTTCAATCTATAAAATGTACTTCTTCAACATTATTCTACTTCTTGCCACACTGCTGGAGAGTTTCCTGCTGTATATACTTAAAGCTGCTGAGCAAGCCATGTGCATCCTTGATGCTGTCTGATGTACCCAAGTTCTTCCCAAAGTGTCTGTGCCCATTTATGCTCCTTAAGTCCTGTCCCCACCCCACCCCCAGACAATCTAGTGAGCTTGACACACATTTTTTACACTATCAGTTAGGTATGCATAATCAAGTCCATAGTTCTATAAGGCTTGTGGTGGGACTTTAGTGGGAGGCCAGCATCACGCTGCTTTCCCACTGCATTTCTCACTCCCCAAAGTGTAACCACTTTGACCTTTCTTAGCTTGGTGTGTCTGGTTGGTGCATGTTTTATGTGTTATAAATGTAGCACGTTGAGAGTGAAAGGCTAAGAAACAGTTGAGAACTGAGTACAGCAGGAAGACCTCAAGCAGGGGTGCTGGTTGGCCGGTATCTGTAGTGCTGCAAGGGGATACAGAGGAGTACCCCACTGTATCAACCTCTCATCAGAGCTATGTGGGTGGGAAGGTCAGTGGTAAGACTCTGGACAGGCTAACCAGTGTTTTGGTGGGGTGAGGTGTGCCCAGATGTGGTTGGTATCCCTTAGCTTATGTTTCCCTTTAGGGAAGTTTCCCACTTCCTTTAGGGAGTCAACAGCCTCAACGGTTTTCCCCGAAGTTGTTAACTAGCCTTCCTTCCTTCCTTCCTCCCTTCCTTCCTTCCTTCCTTCCTTCCTTCCTTCCTTCCTTCCTTCCTTCCTGCCTTCCTTCCTTCCTTCCTTCCTGCCTTTCTGCCTTCCTTCCTTCCTCTTCTTCTTTTCAGTGCCTGAAGACCTGTCATTAGAAGAGCGAGAAGAACTTTTGGACATTCGTCGAAGAAAAAAGGAGCTTATTGATGACATTGAGGTAAAACAACAACAGCCAAGTGTCTTAACTTGAATTTGTGTGGAATACTGAATAGGGTAGCTTCAAGAAAATGTGAAAAATGTGAGAACTATGAAGACAGGAGGTAGCAGTTCTCCAGGCTGAGGAGGCAAAGACTCCATCCCAGACAGCACAAGCCCTGGAGCAGAGACCACAATGGTGGGACCAGCATTCCCAGTAGTTGACTTGTGGCCCCAGAGTTACAAGTAGATGGCGGCAACAGCCTGACACATGATCTGTGTACATTATCTATCTTAAGCACTTAGATAGGTGCCTGCTACATTTACGGCAGTCCAGTATCCTTTGAGTGAACACACAAGCAGATATTGGATTCTAGCTGTATGCTAAGGTGCCTACTTAGTAGTAGGAACAGAATGACAAATTTAGACAAAGACAGATAAAACAGATGAATAAACACTGCCTCCCCACATTTGTGTACTTGACTCAGAGGCCAGGACTGAGCAAGGAGTGCACCACAGGAGAGGAAATGAGTGAAGAAGCCACAGTTTCAGAACTGGGTGTCTGTGATCTTCACAGACAGTTCAGAGGCCTCCCAGGTCCTCAGGAAAGTCAGTCGTGTGTCCGTTTTTGAGAAGCTTCCTAGTCATTGTCATTGCCAAAGTAAATGTTGCCTCATAGGCCACTTACTGTAGAGCAGGCCTTGTCCTAGACAATGACTCCTTTCTAGGAACTTGTTTAAGTCTGAACTTGTTGGCACACACAATAGGGTTCTGAATAAAATGACTTTGTACTTGAGAGGTAATTGGTGGCAGCTTTGGCTCAAGGTTAGCCTGTATTCTTAGAAAATTCTGCAACCCAGAGAAGTCCTTTGTCTAAAGAATTAAGAATGGATACCATGTGGACAGTAGTGACCATATTGCTCAATAATATGGACACGTCCCTGAACACTGACCACTTCATTCTGTCACCAAGGATGCTGTCTGAGGCTCAGGGAGTCTGTGAAGCTACTGAGGGGAAGCCAACCAGTGAGAATTAAAGAGGTCTTGTCCTCTGTTTCTGATGTCTCTGAGTTGGGCCTTGTTCTTGGGGCTTCATCTTTTAAAAAAATCATAATTATCACTTACAATTTTATCATTACTTTAAATTATGTGTATGTGTGTGGGTTTATGCACATGAGTGCTGGTGTCCACAGAGGCCAGAGAGGTGGGATCCCCTGGAGGGTTGTAAGCCACCTGATGTGTATGCTGGGAATTGAATTTAGTGTCTCTGGAAGAGAGTAGTGCATGTTCCTCCAAGCCATTTCTCTACCCCATGGGGTTTCATCTCATATGAAGTGACAATCATGAGACTGTTGATCGGCAATCCTGATATCAACATAGATACATCTGGGTTCTAGCTTCTCCTGAGAATGCAGGCTGCCTATGCCTCCAGTTGTGTGTAGTGACTACAGTGGAGTGAGCTAAGGATCCACTACTTGCCTTTACATGCATTTATATTTTTTACTTCCTTCTTGACTTTTCACACTAGTATTTCAGAGTCTTCCTAGTGGACTCCTGTCATGTGTCTGGTGAGAAGTGGACTGTGAATGTGTGTGTGTGCACGCATGTGTGAGTGTATGTGTGCCTGCATGTGTGTGCTCGCGTGTGTTTTTTCTGCTGTGCTGCCTCTGACCTTGAGTCTCCTTACTGATGTTGGCATTGGGTTATGGCTTTGTAATGCTTATATGAGCCCTTGAGAAAGCTGTGCCTGGAAGACAAGCTGTCTCTAAACCTCTGAGTACAGGATAGTTAAGATACCCCATGACACAGTTCCTTCTTTTTTGACAGAGACTGAAATATGAAATTGCAGAAGTGATGACAGAGATTGATAACTTAACTTCAGTGGAGGAGAGGTAAAGTGTTCATGACTGTACTTTCAGGTTGCTTACCCTCTTTATTCTTGGCACCTTATAGCTGAGCTCACCAGCAGATGCAAGGGCTGGGCTGGGAAGTGGGAGACTTTGGAATTGTCTGTCCCTCCTCCCTGCCTTCTGTGTCCTCACCAACTTTGTAGGCTTGGGACTCTGAATTAACCTTTCTGTATCATGAGGAACTATATTTAAAAAGAAAGCACTGCTTTTCACCATTCTTTCTGAAGAAGTGTTACTGTACGTGAAAAGAAGCCACAGCAGCAGCCTGGGCTGTGGAGGGTGGTGGGCTCTGCTAGACTGTTGTTGTGTGTGCCTTAGGTTGACCTGAGGTGGAAAAGGAGCAGGGGGGTGTGATTCTGATGCACTCTGTGGAAGGTCTCACTAATGTTTTTTGTTTAATTGTTTAAAAACAATAGTAAAACTACTCAGAGGAACAAGCAAATAGCCATGGGAAGAAAGAAATTCAACATGGACCCCAAAAAGGTGAGAGAATGGTTCCAGCCTTCCAGATTGACTGATTAGTGACTGACTCCCTTGTATCACCTCATGAAAAGATGGGGCTGAGGTTTATTTTGTCACAAGCAGAATGAAGCTGGTGCTTCAGGATGAACTGTTACTTGAACCTAAAGGCCTTTCTCACAGTGTGGCATTCTGAGTGCAGGTGCAGTCAGTGGGACCCCTGGGCTCAATTTGTGGGGGTTCAGGCCCAGATACTCCAGTCAGCCCCATGGTGTCTGCCCACCACACTCAATGGTGAAATCCTCAGTAGGTCTCACTTTGTGTCCCTTTTGACCCAAAATGTGTTTTTATGCTAATTGCTAATTCTATTCAAGTATTTATAATTAAGTTGCTCAATAAAATCAAAAAGCTCACTAAGTCTGCATATGGCTTTTTGCTGGGAAAAAATACTGAAATCATTTGGTTGTAGACATAGTTGTGATACTTGGCTTAGTCAGCTGAGCTGTTGCAGCAAAATACCACAGACTGAAAACCAGGCTGGGTGGTGCATGGCTGTAAACCCCGGCACTGAAGGGTAGAAACAGGAGGGCAAGAGGATTGCAGCTCAGCATCATCTTGAGCTACAAAGCCAGCTCAGGCCAGCCTGAGATGCATAAGAACTGGCATGCATAAATAAATGGGTAAAGCCTCTGAGATCATGGTTGCTCGTGTGGTTTTAGTCTAGTGAGGTCTCCTTTCTCAGTGCAGATAGCCGCCACCTTACTGAGTCTTCCATGTGACAAGAGTGAGGATCAAGCTGACTTTAGAGTTTCTCTTTTCAGGAGGCCATACTCCCCACCCTAGGGGCCCCAGATGAGCTTGTCTTGCCCTAATTACCCCCATAGTCTCTACCTCCACCTACAACAATGTGTGAGTTTTGAGGGATACACACACAGTCTGAGGACACACCAGACAATCTTACTTTGCTGTTCAGAATCAAATTTACTCCCCATGTTTTACTGCATCGTCATTGTGAAGTCTAATCACACCTGGAAGTTCTCAAAGACATACCCAGAGATGGCCTTCACTGTCCTGTGTGTCTCATGTTGACAGGATCAACTGTCTTAGGTTTTGGCCTAAACTCACCAGTGGCTTCCCTGTTTCCCATAACATGACTTGTTTCTCTTGCAGAGGGAACCCTTCCTTGCTCGAGGGCCTCCTTGTGTTCCTTCTGTGACTTGTAAGCCAGAAATGACCTTGTTCTATTTGACTTTCTTACATCCTCAGTGGTTTATACTCTGTGAAATCAGTTGTATTGATTAGTTGTCTCACTGCTGTGACAAAATCCCTGACAATGGCGACCTTAGGAAGGGAGGGTTTGATCTGCTCACAGGTCACAGTTCATGGCAGGAAGGCATGGTGGCAGCAGAGGAAGGCAACTGCTTACACTTAATTGATAGTCAGGAGACATAGATGCTGGTACTCAGTCAGCTTCTCCTTTTTATTCAGTTCAGGCACCCAGCCCATGGAAAGTGTGCCACCCACATTCAAGGTGGGTCTTCTGCCCTCAGTTGAAACTCTTGAAATTCCCTCTCAGACATGGCTTTTCTCCTATTGACAACTGTTACAATGACCTAGTTCTTTGGGAGGGTGCAGGCTCAGGGGAGGTCCTGAACATCTAAGACAGTGTGTTCCACGTGCTCTCTGTGACCTGGCAGAGGCCTGGCGTTCTAGGGTCTGGAACTCAGCTTTGAGACCACAGACCCTGAAGCCCCAGGTCAGGATGGGGGAGGGAAAGCCAGGTGGCAAATGTACAAAAACTTCTTAAGAGCCCTGGGAACATCTATATATGCCTAGGGGTCTTTGAGCTCTTTGAGTTGGCCACAAACTCAACGTTTGGGATATCATAGTCACAGTCAAGGTAGTCTCCAGGGGCCAGACCTGGACCAGACCTGCTTCAGTCTCTGATTCCACGAGCCTTTGTTCCAGAATCCTAGGTTTTTCCAGATGTCCTCCCCCCTGTCCTTGGCAGATTTCAGGGTAGCAAAACTTACCAGTTTACACTCAGTTACTCCTACAAATTCTAATAACCCTAGCAAGGGTAAGGCTAGAGTGTTGATCTTTGACCCTGAGGTATTAGAGAGTAAATTTCTACCTAACCTTCTGTGATTGCTGTTCCCTCCCAGACCCCAAGGGAATCCCTATACTGCTGGCTGCTAGCCCACTCCTGTACTTATGCATAATTCTCCTCACCTGAATGGTTGATGAACAAGTCCTACAATGTGAGCACAGAGCAGCAGTGCTGTTGGCTTTTATTCCATGTTCCAAGACAGGGGTGTGTGTGTGTGTGTGTGTGTGTGTGTGTGTGTGTGTGTGTGTGTGTGTGTGTCTGTCTGTCTGTCTGTCTGTCTGTCTGTCTGTCTGTCTTTCACAGTAGCACCCAGGTGGACATGCTTTTTGTCATTCCCACCAGAAACACAAGTGTTAACTTTAGGGCTGTCAGACTTAAATGACATGTTTCATGGCCCACAAATTTTAAATGTAAGACTTGAAGTATCTTGACAAATTAAGAAACAAACCCTCAACCCAGAACAAAATGTGCTTGCAGAACATTGTAGGCCACTTTTCTGGGGCCACTGTTCCTCAAATCCATTTCCCCAGGTATCCCACACCATTGCCAAAATTAGGTTTGCTTTTTTTAAACTGTACGTAAGCAGAATGAAAATATACCTGCCTGGGGCTAGGGAGATGGTTCAGTGGCTATAGCATTTGCTGTGCAAGCTCGAGAACCAGAGATTGAATCTGTCAAACCCACATAAAACGTGAGTAGGTATAGTGGCTATCTGTAGTCCCTGCTCTTGGGAGGCAGAGACAAGAAAGCCCTGGCTCAAGGCAGCTAAATTGATTAGATAGAATTGGTAGCTCTAGTTTTAGTGGGAGGCCCTGCCTCAATCAGTTAAAAATGGAGCACAATCAAGAAGACATGATATCAGCTTAGGGCCTCCATGCATGAACACTACATGTGTACATCCACATTTGTGTACCATGCTCCCACTAATCGCACAGTTTACACACACGTACCTTTGCCGTCTTTTGCTTTATACCCGGTCTTTGAAAGCCTCTCGTTCATTTTGTTCTTCCCATCTAGTCGCAACCTGCCATCTTCTATCTTTACCTTTTCTCTTACTGGCTGTCTGTTGCTGCCTCAAGTTTTTGGAAATGCTAAATGAGGCTGCCAGATGGACTGTGGGTGTATGAGGAAGCCAAAGCAGGCTTAGGCCTGGGAGTTTCAGCTGGAAAAGTGTCTCTGAATTTGTAGAAATGCCTCTTGGCACACAGAAGAATTCCCTGTGTTCCTCCTAGCCTGGTGTAAGGTAGCTTGAAAACAGCTCCCAAGTTGTGCAAAAGGTAACGTTTTGCTGTTGTGGTGGGTCCTAGAAGTTCCCATGATGGTGCAGTACAGCGGATTTGGGCCTGGGACAGCTTGTCTCTGACACTGCCAGCTATGCTTTGCAGGTTCTTAAAGTGGGCATGTGTCCAGCTAATGTAAGCTCAGTGCTAGTGTGCCAGTTAACATGCTTTTGGCCTCAGGTATCAGAAAATCCAATGCCCCCTGCCTCCCCCTAAAAAAAAATGGTTACACAATGGAGTTTTATTTTATCTTATATTTGCTATGGCAGTAAGTGGTTCCCAAATGGCAGGAGTAAGGTACTTACCTCTTCTTTCCCTCACATGAGATGCTTTGCTTCTGACCATCACATGGAGTTCAATGCAGGAAGAAACGAAGGGCATGAATGGCATCCCTACAGGTTTCCATTTATGGCTGCTTGCCCAGAACTGTGTGACAGGTCATGTATATGTAAGGGGAGCCTGAAAAACAAATTATCTGACAATTATCTGGGGTAAGGTGGTAGAATTAAAAGGGTCAGCTGGGGCAGGGTGGCAAGATCAGATAAAAGCACATGCCACTCAAGCCTGATACCCTGAGTTCAATCCCAGTTGTCCAGGTGGAAGGAGAAAACAGATTCCTGACAGTTATCTTCTGACCTCCACATATGCACTGTAGCACATGGTACCACTCGCACATGACTCATACAATCATAATGAATTAAGAGAACTGACTCATAAGCACACCACCACACCTGAAGACCTGAGTTCCATCCCTGGTGGAAGGAGAGAACCAACTGATGCAGGCTGCTCTCTGTGGGCAGTACATGGGTTCACACACATAAATAATCTAAAGGTGTTTTTTTTTTTTTTTTTTTTTTTGGTTTTTCGAGACAGGGTTTCTCTGTATTGTTTTGGAGACTGTCCTGGAACTCACTCTGTAGACCAGGCTGGCCTCAAACTCACAGAGATCCACCTGTCTCTGCCTCCCAAGTGCTGGGATTAAAGGCATGCGCCACCAACGCCCGGCTCTAAATTTTTAATGAGTTAAAAATATTTATTTTTAGAAGATGGAACAGGGAAGTTGGAGAGATGATGCCGCTGCTCCTCTTGAGGACTAGGTTCAATTCCCAGCACTTACATGGTGGCTCAGATTAGGCATGCATGTAGCACACACACACACACACACACACACACACACACACACACACACACACACATTCAGGCAAACACTCACATAAACTAGAAATAAACGATTGTAAACGGGGTTGGTGGTTGGTTATTGGGTTGCCCCATGGCAGCATCTTTCACCCACAGTGAACAGTGAAGTCCTGTGAGTCAGGAAAAACATGGTTTCCCTAAGCTTTACAAATTGGATGGTTTTTAAGCTGCTGTGTAACATGTGACAAATACAGCGGCTCTTTCTTGAGTGGATGAAGCACAGTATGATGTTCCAGAAGTCAGGTCATACAGACTCCATGGTCTCTGGCGTTTTCACTGTGTCCAGATTCTGGCACAAAGCATGTTCCCAACTTTGAAATGGATCGTCACCAGCCTGTTCTGTCTCACTTGTTCCTCAGGGCATTCAGTTCCTAATTGAGAATGACCTGCTGCAGAGCTCCCCGGAGGATGTCGCCCAGTTTCTGTACAAAGGAGAGGGCCTGAATAAGACTGTCATTGGAGACTACCTGGGTGAGAGGTAAGCTCAGGATGCTTTCACAGGTCTTGAGCTGCAGACCATAAGGACAGAGGTGCTGCCCCAGCGCTGCCTTGTGAGGACAGGGTTTTAGGACACTGGGGCATTTGGGATCTTATTATACCAAAGGTTAACATGGACCAAAGATCTAAATAGGAGAATTAAAACTATTGCATACTTAAGAGAAAACGTAGGGGTGAACTGAACCTTGATGGTCTGCAATTATACAGGGTTTCTTATATTTACTATCAAATGATTACTATATATTGCAAGACACTTGAGTGGGGAAAGAATGACCCCAGTAGTTGATATCAGATGATATCTATGAGAGGCAAAATTGGGTATCTCACTATACACAGAGTATGGGTCCAAGACACAAGTGTGAAGACATTAAAAGCTTAGAACCATGCAAATCGTCAAGATCCTGTTATTGCAAGGGTTTCTTAGGTCTGGTGCCCAAAGCCCAAGCAGTTAAAGGAAATGAGGCAAACTGAACATCACAAAAACTTAAACATTTTATACATTTACTTATATGTGTACACATATGAGGGTGATAGCATGCTAACATGTGGAAGTTGGTTCTCTGTCTCCACTACATGAATTCTGGAAACAAGCTCAGGTTGTTAAGCTTTCTTTGCATCAGCTGCCTTTACTTCCTGAGTCAACTCACCAGTCCTCAATTATTACTTTGTTGCTTTAGACAATACTCTCAAAAAAGAAGGGTGAGGAAAGTAGAAGAAAAAAAACTGGGTGGTGGCTTTAATCTCACCAGTTGGGAGATGGAGGCAGGCAGATCTCTGTGAGTTTGAGGCCAGCCTGGTCTACAGAGGGAATTCCAGGACAGCCAGAGCTATACAGAGAAACTGTTTGGTAAACCAAAAATGAATAAACAAACAAATAAATATTAAAAAAGGAAAGAGAAGCAGCCCCTATCCTCGAAGAAGAGGAGCATTTGGAAATCTGACTTGACATCTGATAAGGGCACAACGAGCATAAATAAAGAAGCCTTGCAGGTTGAGCACCTCTAATCCCAAACCCTAAATGCTGTAGAGATAGAAGTCTGCTTTTAACACTGCCCCTGGGGCCCACCACTCCATAGGTTCTGGCAACTGATGTGGTCCCAGGCCTTGTCCTTAGCTGTGGTCCTAACCTGGCTGCTGATGCTGCTGCTTTGCCTGTTTAGTGGATCATCTGACCAGTGTGATGTTCAGGGACTCAAGCCAGACTCTCCTGTCTGCCAGGACAGGCCTTTGATGGCCTCCTGGGAAGAGATCTCATCATACCCCCTTCTGGGGACACAGGCTCAGGAAGTGATGGTTTCTCAGGGCCTGGGAACAACAATACCCCATCTTTTAACTTGAAACTTCCACGTGAGAGGAGGTGTCCTGTGGGCAAACAGCACCAAGCTATGGCCTTGCTCACAGCTTGTCTAGTGCTTGTGTGGTACAGATTGTGGTCTTCAGACCAGGCTTAGTCTGTTCTCCAAGGATGGCGAATCCCAGGTGTGTTCTGTGAGGGTGTAGGTATATTACTCTCATGCAGCCTACAGTGGGTGCCAGCACTCTGATAGGGCAGATGGACCCCTGGTATTGTGCTCTAAGGGTGTCCTCAGAGCACATGGTGACGAAGCCTGTTGCAGAATTTGAGCCAAAATTCAGTGAAACACCAATACATCATTTTTCTTTTTACTGTATTTAGATAAAAACTTGCCTCTTATTGTATTGTCTTGTTTTACATTTAAAACCAATGATTGGGCTTATGGTTCATGCCATTAATCCCAGCACTTACGAGGCAGGCCAAGGCAAGAGGACTTTAATGAGCTCCCTGGGTTATATAGTGTGTTCCATGCCCATCTGGCAACTCATCCCACCACCCTCCAAAAACAAAGGAAAACAAAAAACCATTTAATCCCTTGGCCTAGTCCATTCTATGGCTTGTGACCTGAGAATGTTGCTTCTCCCTTTCTCACACTCAAAACCCCTCTGTAAGACCTTGCTTGGGGCTGTTTTGAAGGTTCCAGAATGTGTACAGGGCCTGGGCTCCTATCCATTAGGATGTACTCTCCAGAGAGCCTCTCGGTTCTCCTTTGCATTGAGTCTGAAAACTGCTGTCTGAAGCCTAGCACTTGGGTGGTAGAGGCAGGAGGATATATGAGTTCCAGGCTTTCTGTAACCTAATGAGACTCTGCCTCAAAGAACAGAGCAAATAAAAATTGTAAACCACATTAGCAATGAAGAACATGGTTGCTTGTAGTCAGTTACCATTACTTGCTAAGGCCTGCTGTGGATATAGATGCCTTCTCTCCAGGTAACTCAGATGGAATGTGCTTGCTTTGTTTCTGTTTTTTCCTAGGGATGATTTTAATATCAAAGTTCTTCAGGCTTTTGTTGAGCTTCATGAGTTTGCTGATCTCAACCTTGTCCAAGCCTTAAGGTGAGTGGTTTCTCACAGTGTGTATAGACAGATGGGAAGGCTAGAGAGACAGTAGCCTTTGAGTGACTCCAGGTGACTCTGGCAGGTCAGCCCCTGCATCCTGGCAGCAGCCCTAGGCAGAAACCAGACATGCTCAGGAATAGACTGCATGCTTGCTGGCTGTGGCCACTGCTTCTGCACCGTCTGTTTCTTTGCTGTGCTTCATTCTGGAGTCCCTGCACTTGCTGCTACATTACTTGTTGCTGTGACACAGTGCCCTGATGAGACGTGACTTAAGGAAGGTCCTGTCTTGGTTCACAGTTTGAGGGTACAGTCTGTCATGAGGCATAGCCGATACCTAAGGTGTAAGTGCAGATAATAAAAGATGTTGACAGCTTGGTAGAAAGGAAGCTGAGGTGCAAATAAATAAATAAATAAATAAATAAATAAATAAATAAATAAATAAATAAGAAAGAAAGAAAGAAAGTAAGTTACTCTTTCCATTGAGCTTTATTAGGAGAATTCCAGGCTCCCAGCCATGATGAGGCTTTGAAGCAGCAGAACCACCATGTAGAGCATGGTAGGGTCCTAGAAAGAAAGAGACACAGCCTTCCATTCTAAGAACAGAGGGTTTCTTGTTCTTACAGGTTTCATAGAGACAGGTAGGAGGCAAAGCTCTGGTCCATGGGATGATGCCATCTACATCCAAGATGGGTCTTCCTCATTTAAGCCTTTTCTGGAAACACCCTCAGAGATGGACCCACAGGTTTGTGCCTGTTGTCAGTAGATTTAGCCAAGTAGGACATAGACTGAACCATCAGATGTCATTTCGTGGTCTTGGACGTATGTGAGGAAAGCCACTGTCACTGTAGAGTATATGTGAGGGGGATGGCCCTCAGCGTTCTGGCTTCCATAGTATGCACTTTGGATTCCCACTCAAGTTGCTGGGTCTGCAGTCTTGAGCAGATGGTGTCTTGTCGTCTGTGATGTCATGGCGTTTGGACTGGATCTTCATCTGGTGTATAGGAAGAGGTAACAAGGACTGGCCTGGTGGAGTCACCCCAGCCTGTTCCAAGCTAAGCATACATAGCCAGCTTTGTCTGGTTGTGTCTTCACACCTTCTCCTCCTGCCTCTGGGGTTGTTCATGTGGCCCTACTTCAGCTGCAGACCGGAATGTTGACAGCCTTTGCCTAGCAGCTCAGCCTGGACTGAAAAGCTTGCTGTCAAGAAAGCCATACAGGAGTCTTAAAGACCTGGTTAGCTGATTTTAGATTCACTTTTGGAGGACTGTATGGACAGAGAAAGACACAGACCTGATGAACCTGGAAGACTGGTCCATGGCAAAGCCATCACCACTGGTTCTGTTTTTTTGTTACTCCGTGTCTGCCTTAGAGTCAGAGGGCAAAGTCTGAGGTGACCTCTCTACCAGACTAAGGAGAGTGAGTAGCTGCTGCCTATCTTGGGTTTGCTCCAGTGGATTCTGTCTTGGCTGTGCCTGGCCTGTAACACTGTCTTCTCTCTGCCCTTGGGCCAATCAGGGATGCAAGTGGGACATACTCAGAATGGTGCAGAGTCCACTGTGGATGTGGGGAAGATGGCAGGCTTGCTAATGCCTGTTTGATTGCTTCTTGATAGAAGCTGGCTGCTGTAGGAATAAATTGTGAAGCTGGGTAAGAGGTCCTCAGACTAGTAGGCAGAGAGTGGTCATGGTGGGGTCAGAACTGAGGAGGGTGCTCTGATAGAGCAGGGGTGGGAGGAGCAAGGAGAGCATGTCTGTGGTGCTTTGCTGACCATGTGGGGCAGAGTGGGAAAGTGTCAGGGATGGGCCTTGTTCTAGTGGCTGTCTTGAAAGTGGGAATTCAACATCAGTGTGAGATGCTATTGAGCCAGGATCTGGCAGAGTGAGTACCTGGTTACAGCTGGGGGCAGTGGCAAGGAGGAGGAAGTGGGCAGGCCTAGAGGAAACAGTCCTCCTTACTGGGCCTGCATAGAAGGAAGAGCCCAGAGAAAGAACAGGACCTCCTTGGATCACTGAACTAGCCATGTCTTAATACCCCAAACAGTCCAGATGTTTTCCTGCAGCCTGTAGATCTGACCTGAGCTTTTGTCTTCATACCTGAGCAGCTGAATATGAGCTTCACTGGCCAGGGTGACTCTAGAAGGTGGTACAGCCATAACCTTTCACTTGGTTCTGAAGGCAGGCAGGGGGGGGGGGATGCTGTGGGTACCTTGTAGCCTGAGAAAGCAAAGCAAGAAGAAGTTGGAGATAAGGGGCAGGAGCTCCAGTGTCCCATAGGGCACCTTAGTGGGAGAGGAACTTCTGAAGACAGGAACATCTATGTGCTCGGAACTGGTCCTTGGTGGCAGGAGTGACACAGCAGCAGACTGTGACAGTGGCCTGGAAGATGTGGGTGAGCCCTGGCTTCTGAGTCTGACCTTGCCTTGTGGTGAGGAGTCCTGAGAGGAGATGATCCCTTGTCCTGTCAGAACTGGAGCCGGCAAGGAGATAGAGTGACCCTGGTGTCACCTGGTGCATGTAGGAGGTGGTAACGTGGGGGACAAAGCATGCTGGCATCCCATTCAGGCTTTTGAGGCGTCTGCAGCAGATGTTGAGGAATGACTTGAAGTCACACAAAAGGAACGGACAGCAGTCTTCACTTGTTGAGTAGGAAGAAACGAGCTGGCTCCATGGTGATTTTGGGCACTCAGACTGAGGAGGCCGTGCTCTTGGTGTGGCATGGGGCAAAAGCTGCTTGGGGACCTGGCCATATCTGTGCTATTAGGGTCACCCAAGGAAGCATCCTCTGTCTTTATAGGCAGTTTCTATGGAGCTTCAGACTTCCTGGAGAGGCACAGAAGATCGACCGCATGATGGAGGCCTTCGCATCACGATATTGTCTGTGCAACCCTGGTGTCTTCCAGTCCACAGGTCAGCAGCCACCACATCGCTGAGTTGAGATGCTCCTACCCATTGCTCCCATCACCTGCACTGCCCCTGTAGGGAACCACCCCTCAAAGTGGGCAGGCCATTCTGCCAGCGAGACAGCGTAGGTGATGCTTCTGGGGTCCCACTCTCCATGTGGAAACGCAAGCTGAGCTTGAAGCCTCCCCATGTTGTGGCTTGTTGCAGATACATGCTATGTGCTGTCCTTCGCCATCATCATGCTCAACACCAGCTTGCACAACCACAATGTGCGAGACAAGCCTACTGCTGAGCGCTTCATCACCATGAACCGAGGCATCAACGAGGGTGGGGACCTTCCCGAGGAGCTACTGAGGGTGAGTCCACAGCAGCTTCCCAGCTGGGTGTCTGCTCTAGCTTCATTTCTGGTGCTAGGATAAAATAAAGTGACAAATGTAATTTTAAGGGAGTAAGAGTTTATTCAACTTACAAAGTCTAACTTACAGCCTGCCATTGTGGGGAAGTCAAGGCAGGAACTTTTGAAGCACCTTGTCAAATCCAGTCAAGAGCCAGGAGAGCATACGTGCATGCATGCTTAGCAGTGCTCAGCTCAGACCCTGTTTTTATGCCCTCGAGGCCCCAAACCCAGGGAGCAGCAGCACCCACTGTTAGGCTAGGCTGCCTTTCTCACAGGTCAACCTGATCTAGACAGTCTCTCATTGAGACTTGTTCCTCATGTGATTCTAGATTGTGCCATGCTGACAAGACTAACAGTCTCCGTCTCCTTCCTTGTCATTTATGGGGTTTCCTTACTCATGGGGGTGGGGATAGGGTGGTGTCGCAGTCAGTGTAGGGTTTCTCCCTCAATCATTTCTCTGCTGTATTTTTTACTATTTTTAGTGTGTGCATGATGTATGTGGCATGTGGAGGTCAGAGAACAACTTTGTGGACTTGGTTCTCTTCTTCCATATGTACGCACGTTCTGTGGAGGGAACGTATGGTGCCAGGTCTGTGTGCCTAAGTGCCTTCACCTGCTGGCCACCTCACCATTGCCAGGTGCAAGTCCTGAGGATCCTCCTGCCTCTGCTTCTAAGATGATGGGAATAAACTACCAAACCTAAGTTCTTGTTTACACAGGTGCTGGGCATCTAAAATAGGGTCTTCATTCTCGCAGGCAAGCATTTCACCAATTGAGCCATATCCCAACCTCTCAAGTTACTGTTAAATCTCCAAATACTTGTAATCCAATGAAAATCAGTAGTGCTGGTTTGTTATTTCAAAGGCGCCTAACCTCCTGGTCTCAGCTGTGTGGCATTTCTGTGTAGGAGGAAGGGAGGGAGGGGGTCACTTTTTGTTCCAGCCTCTGATCAGCTCTGCTCCTCTCTTACAGAACTTATATGAAAGTATCAAGAATGAGCCATTTAAGATCCCGGAAGATGATGGGAATGATTTGACACACACATTCTTCAACCCAGACCGAGAAGGCTGGTTGCTGAAGCTGGGTGAGCCTGGCAGGGTAGGACCTGTGCCCACACCCCTCGGCCCACAGCAGCAGCTCCTGAGGGCTTCTTGCCCTGCTCCTTCCTTGGAGCCACAGCCCCCACCTACAAGGCAGAAATATTATAAAAAGAAAAATACAGTCAAGCCAGAACCCCCTCTGGGCAGCCACACACCACAGCACTGGTGGCTGTGTTCACTGAGTTGTGGCCTTCCAGAGCGGGCCATGATTGCAGCGTCCACTGTACACGCCGTCCCAGAAAGCTACTGAGTTAGCGTCCATGTGAACCCAGGTAGCTCTGCCTGAGAAGCAAGTACCTTTATCTCCAGAACCTGTGTGCTTTCTCGTGCTTTGGCGTGGCTGTGATTCTGACGAGTGGTTTAAATGTGCCTTCTTGTTGTTTTCCTTCTGCCTGTGGCTCCCACCTTTCTGTTCTGTGCCGGGCTGTCCCTGCTTGTCCTGCGTTAGGAGGTAGGTACCCAGTGGCTTCCTTCCCTCCTCAGCGGCTCATTCTCTCCCCACGTTGGTCTGTGTGAAGCTCCGGTCTGTGGTTGCCATTCATCTGATCCATTTGGCTTTGGACGTGGCTGGGGCAGCATCATGCAGGCACCCACCCATCAGGGGCAGGGGCCAGAACACCTGGGACCAGAAGCGCATGGGGAGACTGTGTGGGACAAGCTTGCCCCCCATCTTCAGGGTTCTGCAGTAGTGAGGAAGCTCATAACCAGCCTGTCCTTACAGTGCCGTCCCTAACCCCCACTAACCAACAGTGTTTGCACCTGCACAAAAGCTTCCTTATTGGAAATAATAGTTTCCTGCATTTGGAACAATTGAGATTTTTAGGCTTCGTTTTGACTCTGTGGGAAATGAAAGTACCTAGGTTGACAGTGACATGTGATATGTGACAGCACCCTGTCCAGGTAGTATTAATGCTGTGTAATAAGAAAGACATGTGGAATAAAATTCTGATGATGGTTTTAAAAAGATGAATCAAGGGAGGATGGACTGTGACATGGAGACATGTGACAGGTATAGCTGATTGTGTTCTCCTGAGAGTCTGCTGTTTCCCTGTGGAATTTTGGCCTTGGCTGTTGCTCTTTGGCTTTGCTCTGTGTCAAAGTTAGAAATGTCCTCAATGTTGGCCTTAAAATCTAGTACAGTAACCTTGAATTTGGACACCTGAGTGACTTAGACACACACTGAAGTCCTCAAGTCACACTGCTTATGGACTTGGGCTAGAGAAAGAGTGCATCCCGAGCCACCAGCAGTGCCCAGGAGCCTCTTGAGGGACGATGGCAATACCAGTTTCCTGGCAGTTCATGTGGCTTCTGCCACTAGAAAGAGCCAGTCCCTAGGATAAAAATAAATGAATGAAACCAAGACATAGGCCAGCTTGTGTTTTCTCACCCATATTCTGGTTGGGCATCTCAGCAGGCCATGAAATGAGTGTGTAGAACACCTGCACTGTGCTGCTGGTCTGGGCCATGAGCCAGTGTAGCCAGATGCAGGGTCCTGAGGTCCAGTCAGTGCTGGCACTGTGGGCTGCCTCACACCAGCAGCCACTGGCTTCACTCTGCTCTAGGGGTAAAGTCTGAGGCCAGAGCCATGATTACACAAGGCACTATCCATAGATGACACCCAGCAAGCTAGTGGGCAGAATTAGCTTGCACTGGCCTTTCCCAGGTGCCTGCTGCCCATGGGCACTTCTGCCCAGTGCTTTCCCTCAGTAGTGTGAAGGAGCCCAGATCTAGCATTTGCCACAGCCAGCTGGTACCTCTCCACACATGTCCAGAGGGTGGAAGACACGCTGGGAGTGTTCTGCGGTCTTGGTGGGGATGTGTACAATGGTGGATCTTGAGCCGTTCAATGTCAAAAACATAGGATGTAGTTAGAGTTATCATGGAAGAACAAGTGTATGTGGGCATGCACATGTCAGTGTGCTTATGTGTGTGTGCATCCATCTATGTGTGTCACCTACACATGCTTGGTAACAGTAGTGAAAGTGAAAATATAAAAACATAAAAGTGTTTGGGAGCACAGCTCCCATGCACTGGGCTGAATGCAGAATTGATGAATGGAGGGCATCCCGCCACCTTGTAGAGAATCTGATATAGCTTCAAGTTTTGGCCATTGCCCCTGCTAGGCTTGCATCTGAACTGAATGGGATCCCTGCTGGATAGCCTAGAGCCAGGCTGACCCTGTTCAGTGTAGGTGCCTACTGGCTGGGCCCCTCAATCACCCTGACCATGGGAGCAGTTGGAATGTCCTAGGTACAGAGCCAAGGCCCTCCATCCTCACAGATACCTCTTCTGGGCAGGTGTGACCACACGCCTGGCAGGCCAGGGGGCATGCGGCTGAGCAGGGCATATAAAGTCTGACAGCCACATGGGAGCACAGAGGAGGGGTGAGCACTTGGCAGGGGCCACTGCCACACAGAGACTTGGAGCAGCGCTGCCAAAGGGGAGCCCATGGCTGGGGAGGGAGAGAAGAGGGGGGTTGACTGGTTAGTTTCCAGTGCTCTTCTGGCTGTTGTTGGGAAGGTGCTGGGATGATTTGTGTGGGTCGCTGAGGGGAGAAGAGGCGACACACTGGTGGTGGGCGCCTGCATGGCAAGCTTGCTCTGACCTGATTCAGTCCCTGCCTTGGCCTGGGAGAGTGCCTGAGAGAAGCTAGTATGGCTAGATCTTGGCATTCCTTTCTCTGTTCCTCCTCACTGGAGGTGTTTGGGAAAAGAGAGGCTAAACTGAGGTTCTTCTGGGCATCTGCATGGGATGGGGCTTCCCATGAACCCTTAGTTTCCTGTGTGTAGTGGCGGGGATAGGCCCTGAGTGAGGGCAGTGAGGAAGCTGTGATTTGAGGAGCAGGGGTTTAGGTCAGCCATCAAAAAAGATGGTGGGAGAAAGAGGTCTGACTGCAGGCTGGAGAAGCCTAAGGGAAGCCCTATGACAAGAGGTGTGGTGTGGAGACGGGCTTGGGGCTAGCCCGACACCCCACTTCGCTTTGGGGATTCCCCACTGCCTTGCAGACTCTCCACTCTGTCAGGGTAAATTCTCTCCCGTTCCTGCTGTCACCTGTATTTGGGTCTCTGTGACTGAAAGGCCAACTCGAAGCCTGGGAAGCTCCTCCCTCACTGTGGGCACCTTCTGCGCCTCCTGCGGCACTCCCCAGAGTAGGAGGCTGCAGCTGCAGTGCCCAGGCACGTCCCACCTCCCCAGCATGTTGTAGAGGAAACCAGGCCAGTTCCTCTGTGTTGCCACTGCTAGTTCCAGGAGCCCATGGGGCAGGGAGGGTATCTGTCCCAGAGCCTCTGGTAGCCCTTGATTTTGTTACCATAAGCAGCTTTTCTTTTTTTTTTTCCCTAAACTCCTTGTCAAAAGCAAAAGGTGTTAGTGGAAATAATTTTGACTGACAGTAACAATAAGTTAGGGCAGAAGGGTTCCTTCCCATAGTAAAGAGCAGGTACAGATAGCCTGTGTGTGCTTGTGTGTGTGTGTAAACGTGTACATGTGCTCCAGATCTTGTTAAAAGATTAATTCAATCTAATAATTCCCTGGGCCAAGAGTAATTGACTTTGATGGATCCCAGGACTGCTCAAAGTCCCAGTAATGCGATAACCACTCTGATGTAACGGGATTAAGCCTGGACAGACCTGGGTGAGCCAGCACTGACTTCATCGTGTTCATTTCATGGGGGAAATTACGCCCATCCATTACAACTAACTTTTCCAGGAAACAGATTTGAAAGTAGTATGTGACCTAGGGTGACCCTGGGTGGCCATGGAGAGAGAGGGCACCTGCGTGGGCCCTGGGTGGGGGGTGCATGTGGGCCCCAGCCCTGCACCCAACCATCCTAAATGGTCAGGCCTCATGGCTTGCCCTGGGCTTTCTAACTGGGGTCAATATGGGATGGTTTGAAGAGAAAGGAAGCCCAGTCCTGAGCTTGGCTCCTTTGACAGGGCAGTGATGTGGTAGTAGGGGGATTCTGGGCCCCTCTCTGGGCCCTTGGGCTCCAGCTGCCTGGTCACCTGCCTCACAGGACTCTTCTGCTCCTAGGGGGGCGTGTGAAGACCTGGAAACGGCGCTGGTTCATCCTCACAGATAACTGCCTCTACTACTTTGAGTATACTACGGTAAGTGAGACTGCATATTCTGTACAGTCCTGGGGACCTCATCCTGTCAGGCCTTGCCTCACATCTCTCTCTTCTAGGACAAGGAGCCCAGGGGGATCATTCCACTGGAGAATCTCAGCATCAGGGAAGTAGAGGACCCTCGGAAACCGGTATGACATTTTCCTTGCCTATGCCTCTTCACTCTAGGTCTTTGGGGTCTCTCCTCCCTCCCTGCCCATGTGACGGCTCTCTTCTCTCTACCAGAATTGCTTTGAGCTGTATAATCCCAGTCACAAAGGGCAGGTCATCAAAGCCTGCAAGACAGAGGCAGATGGCCGTGTGGTGGAGGGGAACCATGTTGTGTACCGGATCTCTGCCCCCAGCCCTGAGGAGAAGGAGGAGTGGATGAAATCCATCAAGTGAGTGATAGCCAGGCTGAGTCCCGTGGGGAGCAGGAGTGTGTGCACACATGCGTGCATGTTGGAACCCTGTGCACAGTATGTCAGGAATGACCTTTGCTGGAAACTCAGAAGGCCAGCCTGGCCACCCCAGACCTACACCTGCTGCTTGCTTGGCACCTGTGGGGTGGTGGGACTGGGCATCCAGGCCTTGCTGCAGCCACAACTTGCTTACCTTGCTTTCTCCACAGAGCAAGCATCAGTAGGGACCCATTCTATGACATGCTGGCCACGAGGAAAAGGAGGATTGCCAATAAGAAATAGGTAAATGCCGAGCCCCAGACTCCACAGCAGATGTGCCGGCTACTCACAAGCAGCAGGACAAGTGGGCAGTGTGGTGCCCATGTGTCTCCAGAACAGGTAGCCAAGGCCCAAGCCCTGAAAGCCTCGTGCTGTCCTCTGGGATGTTGGTCAGCTGTGTTTTCCTGCCACTTCCTGCCATTGACCTTTGGGGACCCTTGTCCACACAGCACCTGGTGACACACCCTCAGGACCTGCACAGCCCACATGGGACTCCTTTTCTGGAGCCAGAGCCTCATCCACACCATGCCACACCTGCTCTTTTGGGCAGCACTAGCTGTTCTAGAAGTCGCTGTTTTATATCAAAATGGGAAAGGAAAACCTACCACTTTTTTACAGAAATTTTCTCAGATATATAGGATTATAGCTTTTATATGCCTTTTTATATTCTGGAAATTATAATGAAAGATACTTAATTTCTAACAGTAGTATTTTTAGAATGGCAGCTATAAACTTAACTCCTGGACGCAAGTATATACTGTGCACTGAGCACAGTCTATATATGGAGGCCCCAAGCACTTGAGTTGGAGCAGCTGGGGGCCTGATGTGTCAGGTGGGACACAGGCAGCCACTGTGGTGACAAGGCACTGGGGTAACCCTGAGGAACAGTATGGGAGACTCCAGGTGTGGCTAACTGCCACTTCCCCTCACGTGCTTCTCTAAGTCACTGAAATATGGTCTGGCTCGGGATGTTTATCCGTCAGTGTTGAGGCCTGGGAGATGAGTCCTTTCCCTGGAAACAGGCTGTTTGTGTGTAGAACCACATGAAACTGACCTTTACACGTGGTCCACCTGCACTTTTGTTGCTTGCTGTTTCATCCTTTTGGGTAAGTGCTCACTGACATAGTTATCAGATCAGTATTTGATGCAGCGACTAGACATGAACAGCCACAAGTAACCCACCTATCCTCTGGTAGTGCCAGGCTCTCCAACATTTGGCACCCCTTTAGAGGGGAAAAGCTGACGATGGCACTTAGGGAAGCCAGTGGCACATCGAACCCTATATATACCAGGTGTGATTTCAGGGTACTGTATGCTTGGGCTGAGAGTGGTCAGGGTGATCGGGCCTTTTCTGTTGCACTTCGGGGGAGGCCCCTTCACAATTTGGAGGCCCCTCTTGGGGCTACAAGGGGCTTGTTTAGAAAACGGCCTTCCCTGCCTAACTGCATCCCCGAGCTGTCTACGTAGACAAACCTGGAGCTTGCATCCCAAGGGTCTTTGAATGCACTTAGAGGTGAGCTGTCTTTGAGGCTCAGCCTCAGAGGTAGCTGTCACATAAGATTTTTTTTTGGAGGGGGGCAGGAGGGTATGTCAAGGTTCATGTTCCAGAATGATCACTTTTTGTTTATTCCCAAACTTCTTGGCTTTTATTTTTACTAATACCTCAGATCTGAAAACTTTGTCTGAGCTTCCCGGCTGGTGTGTATGCAACTTGGCTTGCAGTCTTCCATGATCCCTACCCCCAGCCTTCACCACCTCAGACCACAACTTGCTGCTGGTTGGGCAGCTGTGTGTGAGTGTGTGTGTGAGGCGGGGACTGGCATGCCTCCATCAGGACTCTGGTTAGTCTGCTTCTCATGTCCAACCCTGGTTATGGTCCTGGGGTTACAGCTCTCTTTTGGATGTTGAAGATGTTAAGCATGAGGCTACCTGATGGTGTCTTTGAGGGGACTTTGCCTTATGGCTGTTGGTGCTAAGAATCCTAAGTTACTGGCTCTCAGAGTATCCATATGGAGTCACCTAACTCAGGTTATGTTGTGACAGTATTAACCCCAAGGGCATCTGGCCACTTCCAGGGCTTGCAAAGGCTCCGTCATACTCATGCCCTTTGTCTGCACTCCTCAAAGCATTAAGTCCTACTCTGGCCAAAGACAGTTTGCTGTCCTGCTGGGCCCTGGTCATCATTTTCAGTTGTAGGTAGACTGGCTCTGGAGGTGTCAGAACACTTGAGTCCCACAGTCTACCTAGGAGCTGTTTGAGATACAGCAACCTTCTATGCTTTGTGTCATACTGATTTTCAGAGCTACAGCTGTGCTTTGCTGACAAGTTAGGTCTGTTACAGACGAAACACAAGTGATTTTTTTTTATCTTAGAAAACATTTCTATTTACAATAAATAGTTGCTATGTAAATAATGTACATATGTATTAATTTTCTGCAGTGTTTGTTATACAATGTACATATTCCTACAACCTGCATGAAGAAATATCCTAATAATGTTATCAGAATATCTGGCTGTTTTATTGCAAAGCAAACAGCTAGTAAAATGGAGGGCTTACAGCTGTCAGAACTTTTGCAAATACTGTGTTCCCTAAATAAAAACATACTGCTAAAACAAAAACTGCTTCAGACTCAATTCTTAAACAGATGTGGCTGTGAGCTTATGGAGAACAGAAAAACTGAGCCAGAGTTGTTTAATTTGCTGCCATTTATATACTATATAAATTTTACATGCCATATATATACAGTGGGGCAAGTGCTTTTTTAATCTTAAAAAAACAAAGATCAACTTTAGACATCTCTGAACAACACAAACTGTATAAACCATACAGATTATTCAGATACACACTGTATTAAATACAGTCTTTTCCCCACTCCCGTCTCCTGATGCAGGACCAGTGAATTATAAGTGTATCACAGTTTGATAGCATATCCATATTAAAAATAAAATCACAGTATGATTTTTGTCTGTAACTAGAAACTTGAAGGGATCAAGCTGACGACTCAGACTCCAATATCATATTGTCAAGACAAGACACAGTATAAAAAGTGTTAAAGGTAATAAAAACATACTGTAGGCTTTACAAATAATGTCTGGATTATACATTCATAATGCAAATACTCATCATAACTGGTAAATTGATTGGAATAGTTCCACAAAGTTCAAAAACAGAACTTGTCTATAAAATACATCTTCAAATCTTGAATACAACTAAAAGTGAAGCAAATTAGTTTCTAGTATCAGACATTGCAGAGGAAGCCCTCGAAGGTCTAGTTGAGAGCTTGGGTCTTTAAATAAGTCTTTAAATTAAATAGACGCACTGTTGGTTTGTCCTTTAGAAGTCCATGGTTCCCAGTTGGCCGTGCACCAGATGTCTAGCTTGGAGGAACATTACATGAGATACAAGTAGTCAACCTGAGTCTGTAGTTAAGCAGCATCTGAGATGGTCTATTCCAGGGCATTATTTTCAGTGTGGCTTTTATGTACACGGTAATTTACAATGTTCAGCAGTGTACAAAGTATCCGTTTGGAATAAGGGCAATTAAGAAAAGGTAAAAACTTAAAAAAAAAAAAGTTGTCCATGGTAAAGTCTGTACAGTATTTACTAAAGAAGCACCACGCTGTTTGGACAAAGTTATTTTTCTATGTTTATAATTTAATCTGGGTTTGGGATGGCTTCTGTTGAAAATGTTGAATCTGAAAGAAAAGAGGTGCGGGCATTAGCTGAATGGAGGCTAGTCTTCTCACATGCTCTGGATGCGACCCAAGGCTTTTGAAGAGTTGTTGAAAAGAGTTCTGTACCTTCCTGAACTGTAATAAGGGAACCCTGTGATAGCCAAGGAGGCGCCATCTGCTGGGCCCCACAGCTGCTAACCGCCTCAGACCTCAGGTTCCACTTTCACTGGTCAGAGAAGAGGCTTTTAGAGTCTATGTTTTGATGACACTGACAAAGCCTGTTAATTAGCAGCAAACTGAGCTGCTGTAGCAGATCATTTTAAAGTCCTCCTTGCTGACTGGACTTGACATTGTCTTTCCTGCTTCAAGTGTAGACTATAAGTTCCTGTCTCTCAGAGCTACACGATAAAACACCAGCAATTAGGACCCAGGACATGGCACTGACCCCTGTGGTTCTTCTCTGCTCTGAGATACTCAACCCTGTTTCTCAGCACAACTTCCATGTCTGGACACTAGCTGGTGGCTGAGTGTGTGCTAGAGACACAGAACCCCCAGGACCCCAATCTTCAGAAGGAAACCCACCTATATCCAGATACTCAGCACTTTTACAAATGACCAAAACAGACAGGAAAATTGCTTACCGTAATTTTTTTGTTAGGAGGCCAAGACTTTAATCACCTGGAAGGCAAAGTGAGGAAACAATTTAATGTATGTGTACCTGAAATCAGTTTCACAGTTTGATGTCAGCTGCTAAAAGAATCACTTCTACAGGATGAGCAAGCAGACCCTGGTTGGCAGTGCTACAAAGAACACCCATGGAGGATGCTCAAGGGCCATGCCCGGGGACCAGGTCTCTACCCCAGCACACACATTCTTATGTGAGGATGAATGTGAGGATGAGCTGAGAGTCCTACAGAGAACTGGAGTACGCAAGAAAGGGTCAGTGGTCACAGCCCAGAGCAGAGGTGTGGGTACAGAGGCATTAGCTGCAAACCAGCCACCAGTTTGGGACAACCTGATGCAGTGTAGTATATACATGCCAAAGAGCAAAGGTTCCACTCAGAGCCACCATCACATGTCTGCAGCCACACACGCCTTTATTCGTGACCATAATCTTTGGGTGTCTGGGGAAGGCAACATGCTTTTTATATCAAGGGCCAAATGAAGAAAAAACCATTTCAATGAGACAGGCCATGTCTTATCTCTACTGAGTGAAACCAAAACAGTACAACAGAAAACACATGGGCTTTACACAGTCTACTGAGCCAAACCCTCTTTCACACAGTGCTTCACTTGAAGCAATACTCCTCTTCCTCATACTGTTAAGTGTTAGAGCCACTCTGAATTGCAGGTTAGGCTGTAGCCCCAGGGCTGGTTTGCCAGTCTCTGCTCTGACCCACTGACATTATATCCCGTGCATTTTTTACAAGCCAAATGCTCCTATCTAGGGAAAAAGCTCATTAGAAACAGGATAGGAAGAGGAAGGGAGTAGCCAAGCTCACTGGCATTGACCTGTATTCCCAGCACTCAGGAGGGTGAGGTAGGATTTTGAATTCCCAGTTAGCCTGGAACCATTCATTTAGGGAGAAGAGATCCAACAAGAAGAACCTCAGAAACCAGCAGCCTGGAGGGTATGAGCCCCACACTGCTGAGTTATGATTTAGGAATTGGGGTACATTTGGGCCTTTAGGGGTTCAGAAGTTAACACAATACACACACATGTACACATGGGTGCACACAAACATACACAGGCAAATACTTTAAAAGCCAAAGTTCTGTGTGACACACACAGGTTCCAGCATTCTGAGCACACAGGTTATGCTGGGCCCAGCTCCATGCAATTCCAGCCTTCAACAGAGGTTACACCCAGCCAGAGGTCAAACCACACCTGCTCACTGGAACAGTCTTGTTTTGGTGCATCCCCTTGAGTCCACTCTTATACCCTCTGTACCCTTCTATTTCTGTGTTCATCGCCTTTCCCAAAACATGTTACTCAGAGCTGCAACCCTCAACTTTCCGTTTTCTTACCCTGGCCATACTCTGACAGATAGCATCTGTCAGGTCGGCTTTCCACCCTTAAATGCTTGGTTTTCTCCCGGAAAGAGCTGCTGTCCTGCAGAGGCAGGCCATCAGCCAGCAGAAAGGTGCCCTCTGTTCTCCGGAAATGGCTGACAGCCTCGTAGTTCAGGGGCTTCGGTAAATGCATCTCAACATCTTTCACAAAGGCCTCTGACTTCCTCGAATGTCTTTTCTTTTTCTTCTTTTTCTTCCGATGTCTGTGGAGGTCAGCATCGGAGTACGCTCCTGAAAAATCTGATTCTTGCTGATGCCTGCAGAAGAAGCAGCCAGAGGTCAGCACCAAGGAAAACTACAATCCTGGCTCCCCATCCCTCAAGACAACTGGCTATGCATCTGTGAACAAATTTCTCCTGCCAACATGCTGTTTCCTTTCATGGAACAATTTTAAGCCCAAGGACTTCAACTACAACACCACGGTCCCCAGCACTTCTTTGCCTTAGCCAGAATTGGCACATTCTGCCATGTGTCCAGGCACAGGACAGAAAGCAGCACTGCCCTGCTGCCTGGTTAAAAACAACTATGGCAATCTTCTCCCAGTTTTAGTGTTAAGTGATGTCAGCTAAAAGATACAGGAATTGCATTCATGCTCACAAATCAGAAATCAATTAAGACAGCTGCCAACAGTTAAGCTTCTAAGTGATGCAAAACTAATCAGATGTGGTGACAACAGCCTATAAATCCCAGCACCGGGGACACTGGGTAGGTGGATGTTAGTTTGAGGCCAGCTTGGGCCTCAAAAAGACACAAAAACATTTAGACTTTAAAATGACAAATGGTGGCCTAAAAAGGAGACAAAATCCAAAAAAATAGATGGTGTGTCCTAAGCTCACTCTAAGCAGGCAAACAGGTAGAGAAGAAAAGCCAACAGATACAAGAATAGGATGATACATGTCAGACCTGGGAGAGTTGTTAGGGACCAACAATTTAAAAGCCATTTCAAACTTTAGAGATGCAAAACAATGAAATCTCCGTGAGTTTGTAGGCCTAGATGGGGTGGGGGTGGGGAGGAGAGGTGCCTTGGTCCTGCCCCAAATGATGTGACAGACTTTGATGATCCCCCCCCATGGGAGGCCTTACCCTCTGAAGAGTGGGGGGGGATGGGAAGATTAATGGAGAGAGTGGGAGGGAGGGAAGGAGAGGGAACTGGGCTTGGATGGATGGTTTTACTCTAAAGTAAAAAAATCTCCAACACCAAAGTCACCCTGGTGGAACAAGAGCCCTGTGGCCTGGTGTTACCAGGACAGAGCCAGCCACACAAGCACTGTGAGCACTCCCAACTCAGGCACGGCATCCCCTCTCCAGGGCTCACCTGCCATCTCGGTCCCGGTGTTTATCTTTGGACTTCTTTTTCTTCTTAGATTTTTTGTGCTTCTTCGTCCTTGGCTCTTCTACAGTGTCCTTGTCCAGACTTTTGTGGGGTTTTTTCTCTAGGCGGCTATCACTTTCTAGCGTCGCATACTTCCGTTTCCTCGGCTTGACACTTTGGTGTTCATGAAAGCGCTCAGGGAGGCTATGGGTGCTCTCCTGCACATCCAGTACCGCCTTCTCCTGGGGATGCCTCTCGAGGGCCAGGGCAAGGCCAGGGGCCTCTCTGGAGTTGTGGAAGTGGGGTCGTTCCTTCCCCCGGGGTTGTGATTCCCAGGCTTTACGGCCCCAGTAGCTGTCTTTGTGTGGACGCCCAAGCTGGGCAGAGCGTTCATGCTCACGAGCACGGAGAGGCCGCCACTCTCGGGCCGTGTACGGGACGTACCTGTCGTGGTAATACCTGCATTTGTCCCACCGTATCTTCTCTGGGTAGAATCTCTCCCTGACCCAGGCATGCTCGTTTTCCAAATGGTGGTGCCGGCTCCAGTCCTGTTCTGGGC